CTGAAAACTAGGAACGTCAATGTGTAGTCAACTATTCGATTAACTGATAAACGCTAAGCCTAAACTTAATCTTCTCAACGTCAAGCATCCCCCCACCCTTGGCTGCCTCTGTATCAGAGGCACCAAGAGAGGAAGCAGGAGCTGGTGCTGGGGGAAGCTGGTTTAAAAGCTGATTCCCCCACAGCATTGGCTCAGAGGTGCCACTTGCCCTCACCCACTCCACTGCTGCGCGGGTGAAGGGGCAGGGGAAGATTGTCGTGAAGCAGCCTGGGAGCCCCATGGACAGAGGCTGCTCTGCATCCCACAGAGCAGCCTCTGGCTGCGGTGAGTCTGGGCCCACCATGGGCCAGGGCTGCTTCGTGGCAGCAGCCCCTGTCCATGGAGGGTCCCAGCTCTCCGCAAAGGATGCTCTTCATCCCACAGAGCAGCCTTTGGCCATTGAGAGCTTGGACTCCCATGGACAGTGGCTGATACCACCCACGCTGCTTTCTCTGAATAAGAGGCAGCAAACTGTGGCAGCTAACAGCTGGTCTGTGCAGGGAGCTGGTTTTTAAATTAGCTCCCCTTGGAAACTGGCCCCCACCTGGCACCAATGTCCCCTCTAAGCTGTAGGCAGCACAGCTTCACAGGTGATTAATCAGCCAGGCCCAGTCAGTCAGCTCCTGGTATGAAGCCCTAAGCCTGACTGGGTAGGGCTGATTAATCACCTGTGAAGCTGTGCTGCTGCACAGCTTAGAATGAACACTGCTTAGCACCCCATGGTGCTGCCTCTGATAGAAAGGCAGCCAGCGGCACTGGATGGCAGGGCACTCCCTGGGAGTAGGGCAAGAGCAGATTGGCATCCAGACCTGCCTCCAAGGACTATCAAATAGTCATGTAACTACTAGGATTTCATGCAGTTACATGACTATTCAATTACCCATATCTAACATCCCTACTGAAAAACAGTTTCATGAATGACCAAACAATGGGACAGTTGTGTGTTGCTCATTATCAAGTTGCCTCCTGTTGTACATGTACTGCCCTGTAAACCATTCTTCCCCCACCCCAGTTGGCACAGTGAATAAATATCTTACTGTTCTATGCATTTTTATTTAGGCAGCATAGTAAACAGACACTAAACAGAAAAGGAATCGCATGCAAGGCAAGGGTCTGAAAACACAAGGGGAGCATAGGGTGAGCACAAGGACATGGGGTTTATTACAATTGCCCTGCATCACAATCAAAGCTGTGGGAGTGACCGCCTCATGCTCAAGCCATCCCTCAGAACTGAGTGAAAGGTTTCCCAGGCCTTCGCCTCCATTTCCCTGCATTCTAGAACATCTGGGAGAGAAACATATGGAACTTGGTGAATAGAGCAGGTGATTTATCAATGGGTGTATAGGGGCACTCTGTGCGTCAGCTGCTTTTCTTTCACCTCATCAGCTCTGTTTGCTCTGCCACAAGCCTCAATGTCTCATCCTGTATCTTACACTCATGTTCCTTGCATACTCTCTTGCCCTGTTTGGAACAGTGACCTCTAATAGCATTCGCCTCCATGTATTCAGTTTTGCTGTGAGTGAAGGCAGATTAAACATTTAATTGCATTTTTTCACCTTCTAATCTATGAAAGTCTAACTGCAGAAGCAAGGACAGGTATCCCAGATCAACTTTCCCCCATCCTGTATCTTACACTCATGTTCCTTGCATACTCTCTTGCCCTGTTTGGAACAGTGACCTCTAATAGCATTCGCCTCCATGTATTCAGTTTTGCTGTGAGTGAAGGCAGATTAAACATTTAATTGCATTTTTTCACCTTCTAATCTATGAAAGTCTAACTGCAGAAGCAAGGACAGGTATCCCAGATCAACTTTCCCCCACACCCCCCCCCGGGGGGGGGGGGGGGGGGGGGGGGAAACGCAAGGGCAGACTTTAAAAAAGATGCATGATAAAAACAGAAAGTTAACTTTTACAGTGAATGAAGCAATTTAATAACACAAAGCACATAGGTAGAAGGCCAAATTTTGCATTTTAAATTGAGCACCTACTAGTAATGTATAACACAGCAGAGTACTGAGCAGGAGAACTCTGTTTTCCAGCAAGCACGTTAAGAAAGGTTAACAAACTGTTTCAAGGAGCACCTACTGTGAAGGTGAACTGGCTACCACTGTATCCCAGGTGTTCAGGGAAAATCAAAGATTAAATCCAATTACATTTAACCACTGTAGCATGATTCCAAATGTGCACTCACCAGAGTTGCCCTCCACCATCAGGGTCTGAAACAATAGCCCCTGGGAGAATGGCTCCAGAGTTAGGAAATGCTCCTGGCTATTGGTGAGAATGTATCCTCCACTTACTGCTGAGCATTCTCCTCCTCTTCTATGATGGTCTCCTCATTGTTGTCCTTGGCTGTCTGAAGAGTCACATGGGAAGTATCCATGGATAGTTTTGGGTTACTTATTAGGTCTCCCCACCCTAGAATCTCATGCAGGTGCTCATAGAAGCAGCATGTCTGTGGCTAACCCAGAGTGACTGTTTGCCTCCTTTGTCTTCTGGTATCATCACCTGAGCTCCTCTATTTTCATGCGACACTGCTGGGTGTCCCTGCTGTCTTCTTTCCATGTTTTATGATTTTGGCCCAGATATCATGGTTTCTTCTGTTAGTTTAGAGTTCTTCCTGCAGATTCTTCTCTGCATACATCAATCAGATCTAGTATCTTCTGCATACTCCATGCTAGAGCCTCTTTGCAACCCTGGATGGGTATGCTGTTCGGCTTGCCATGCTGACCAAACAGGAAATTAAATTCCAAAGTTCCCAGGGCTTTTCCTTTGTACCTGGGAGTGCAGCAGAGTTGAAAGTTCTGGCCAGAGTAGTCACACTGGGGCACTGAGGGACACCTCCTAGAATCAAGAATGTTGACTTGAACAGTGCTCTGTCTGTCTTACCACAAATTTGACACTGGAAGATCAAATTTAGAGCCACTCCTCAAGATGGAGTACAGACCTTGATGTTAGTGGTAGTGGGTTAGTGGTGTAGACATACTCAAAACAAACATGGTTAACAACCTCATCGTGCAGACTAGCTCTAAGACTATTTGGAAGAAGTCAGTTCAGCCTCAATACTCTCATCAGCATAACAAACTCCTCCTTGTGCCAAATTGTCCAAACAGCCAGTGGCAGTTAATTTGCCCAGAAAAGATTTTAAAACAGCCTGTGGCACACAGGAGTCCCAAGAGAGGGGACAAAATTACATCCTGCACATTGTGAGAAGAGAAAGTTAGATTTACCTAACAAAACAACCACATATGCCTATACTGAAAGGAATCAAGTTATGACTCAGTAGGCTACTGTGGTTTAAATGATTAATAATAGTTATTGTATGGATATATTTTATTTTTTAAAACCACATTCCCATACCATTTTGTAGCATAGTAAAAAAACTTCCGTATGGATGGAGTCCTAGTCTTTCATGAATAATCCCAGTCTAAATTTTAAAAAACTCCCAAGGGTTCTCCTATTTATATTTTTCCTTCACAATTCTAGTATAAAGTCTATGTATTTATAAAAAATGGAAGATAGTCTGATTTGACATTTAAATTCCATTTTGTTAATTAGATTTTAAAAATATTTCTAACTGCAGCCCAATAGCCATCCGATGAGTGCCATATTTAACTACTGAAAGTATAGTTCAAAAGCTTAAAAATCAGGAATATTCATATCAAGTAAAGGGAAATGCCAAATGTATTTTATTAGAATTTTAACAGACATTGCAAAAAATATTGCATAATTACTGAAAACATAACATTTTAAAAAGGTAGCAATGAGGCATCAAGTAAAAGACAAAGAATACAACAGCTGTGTACATTTGCTGTAAAGGAAATTGCAACTGGGGAGGGGATGTGTGAAGGGATCA